CCCCGTGCACCAGCTTCAGCCACTTGAAGAGGGACACGAAGTCGCCCTGCACGGCCTCCGCGAACCTGTGCTTGTAGGGGAACACCACGCGCACTGACTCCACGTTCACTGACCTGACGAAACAAGAACAAATTTAGAGTTACAGCTTTTTCTCCATTAGTTATTACTTGGTCCATGTATCTGATCATTCCAAAATAAGTTGAGAAAAAGTAAAATAAAATTGGTATACTTTAGTTCATTTAATTAAGCCGCAATATAGATGTGTCACTCACCAAACCTTGTTCCATGGCAACAGGAAGCCCTCGTTGGCGGAGCGCTCGACGCGCACGTCGGGGTCGTCCTGCGCGCGCTCCTGGCTGTACCCCTCCACCACCACCACCTCCTCGCCGTTCAGCACCATCTTCAGCTGCCCCCACGACACCGACACCCCGCACCACTCCTCGCAACCCACGGTCAGCTCGTCTGCAAACACACAAACATTAATATCGCACTCAGAGTCCTTCAGTAGTCACCCAGGTATAATGTACCTGTGATAAACAGCATGTTGTTGTCTTCAGACAGCAGCAGCATTAAATTAGTGTCGCCTTTAAACGACACTCTCCAGTCCAACGGTTTCTTTTTATCTTCTCTCACATCTTCCGTCTCTCTCTTACTCGCTTTCAATTCCTTTAACTGTTTACGGAAACTTTTCACAGCTCGAACAAATGTCAATATCTTCAAATGCATATTCGCGCTCCATTCGAAGTCGACTGTTTCGAGAAATTGAAAATCCAGTAGGTTTGTACTCTTGTCCTTGGAATGCAAGAACTCAACTCTCAGTAAGCGTACGTGGAAGAAGTTCGATGTGATCTCGTCTGATCTCTGACATTGAACGTTACCTGGAAAATTAACAATCATTTACAATTTTTTATTACAATTTTTTCATAATAAGTCAATACATATAATAAATTCTTACCTTTGTAGGGAACCATTTCGACAACTTTCAATCCGGAGACGAGTGCGCCGGCTTTGTTCACCGTCTTTTCCAAGGTGACCGCATCGATCCTCGTCATCAGACATATCTCATCCGACACGATGAGGAACAGATTGATGTGCGACAGAGCCACGTTCACAGATATATTGGCCGGGGCCTCGTCCCCTGCTTCCGGGAGCTTCGGTTTGCACGGCGTTTTGTAGTCGTCCAGGCATTCCGCCATCGTGATCACGGCATTTGCTATTTCTTTACTCCATTCTAGACGTAAACAGTCCATCATGGCTTCCACCTGCAATAATAAATTTCCTTTTTCTCACTGGAACAGCACATTTAACAAATAAACATTGTCTTTCATCTTTCGCGTTCTGCCAAAGCCTGACAGTAGCACAGGGTCATGTACACGTTGCACCTTGCAGTCGCGGGGCGGGTGACTGCCGCACTTGACGAGGGCGACGGCGAGCAGGGCGGAGTGCCAGGCGTGGTGGCGGCGCGGGGGAGGCTCGCGCCCCGCCCACCCCGCCCACCCCGCGTCCACCAGCAGCTCCGCGCTCCAGTGCCGCGCTCCCACCACCAGCTGCGCCACGCCCCACTTGTACGCCTCCTCTGCACATACACACCACACACATACAGCTTACAAAAAGATTATAACATTAATCCAAAGAATAATATCTTGTGCCTATAAAGCCATGTAGAAAATATCTAGATAGTACCTCTAGTGTCAAGGAGCTGGTCCAGCTTGACCTTGAGTCCGCCGCAGCCGGCAGCCAGCGCGGGGCCAGCGGCGGTGCGGCGCGCCCGCAGCGACACGCCGCGCAGCTCCGCGCACCCCTGCACCACGCAGCTGCCCAGCGCCACCCGCATCCACGCCGGCACGCCCCCCGCACTCACTGCACCCCCTGTACCCCCTGTACCTCCTGCACACATACATACTTCATACAAAAATATATATCATTATATACTTATTATTAAGTTTATATTGAAATCCAATAATTTACGAACCACTTTAGTTATAAAAGCATCAAACATGAAAGAAATAATTAAAGATATGAAATTGATAATGCGCAACCTGAAGTGCTGTCGCCGGAGATCTGCATGGGCTTCATCTTTCTGTCCAAATCCCTGATAGTGCGGTACCACTTGAACATGTCCTCGTGAATGTAAGACATATTCAGTGTACTTATTATCAGGTACAAGTTGAGCACGCCCTTCTCTAACTGTAAAAATACAGATTAAAGGATTACAAAGGCGGATATTTCTTACAAATGTATTTTAAAGCTTTTTAACAAATTGTGTGTGCTATTTAAATCAATGTACTATGCACGTCCAAACTTAATATTAAGTCAGAATTACCTTGGCGTCCAACTTGATTTTATTGAGGAAGAGCAGGTCATGTTGTTGGGCAGTGAGCTGCAGCTGGTCAGCCTGGAAGGCTACGTACAGCTGCGGAGACCCCGCCCCCAGCCCCACTCCCGTCACGCCCTCCGCAGCAGCGCTGAACCGGGAGTTTACCTGCAAATTTAGTCAATCATAACTGATTAGTTTAACTTATTTTTTGTCACATTTTTTTGAATATTAAAGTTATCTTACTTGTAAACTTTGCAGAGTAGTCGTTGTAGTTTTACCTCCAGAATTTATTGTTGTTTTTTCGATTTTTAAACTGAATATCTAAAAATAAAAATATTTAACAGTAAATACTATAACAAACTTTAAAATTATAAAAAAAAAAGATCACCAAATGTCTGTATATTACAAACCTTTGGTATAATAGGAGATAATCTGGGAATCAGTGTGGTAAGATGATCATCATTCTCCATAGAATGTCTGGGCTCGGGAGATTTTCTTGTTTTCTGCTTTTGTATAAAATGGTACACTTCATCTTGTAGTGATATACATGGATTGCTTATAACTGTGTGGATTTTCTGAAAAAAAATATTATAATCATTTACTTGCACCTCAACTTCGACTATGTATAAATTGTACTTGAATTTAGTTATTTCACATAGCAATGGATTACTAGAATATTAACCTCAACATTTAGAGGACCATCGGCTTTAACAGTGCCCTCAATGTGAAGGCTACAGGCGGCTTCCAGCAAACCATCAGCGCGGCAGGCGAGACGCACGTCCAGCGCACTCGCACAGAATGCGAGCGCACGCGCCGGCCCACCCGCCGCACCGTCTGCTCGCACCTCACCCGCACTCGCCTCTACCACAAATGGTGATCGCGGACAGCCATTCACTACTGTCAGCGTCGCGTCTATTATGTGTACGCCCATGAACTGTTATAAACACATACAATTTTGATCTTGGTATTTTTTAATACAAGAAATACATATATACAGCATCAAAAACATCCCATATTCTGATCTAAAATACATTAAAATAAATTATTTTCAATGACAAAGAATTATAAATATTAAATTACATACCTGAGCAAACATAATAAGACTTGGTGGTAACTTTTTGTCACGGAAATCTAGTAAATTCTTTTGAGTGAATCGTTTTAATTCTCTATTGATTATATCAGATTCTGTAGAATCTTGTCCATCTTTGAAATTGGAATTTTGCTTTGATAATAAAGGTTTGAGTATTGTCTCAACAACAGCACTTCTTTTCTCTTCTGCATTATTTGTGATTTGTAGTTTATTGATGACAACAGAAACCAACTTGTTGATTTCCGAATTGAAAAAGCTACTACGAAAAGATACTTCACCAATGTGCTGAAAATAACAACTTATTAAACTGCTATTATATTGTAATTCTCAGTATATAACTATTCTTAAGAAGCAAATATGAATTATGTTACTATTATTATTTAAACATTTTAATATTATTAACACATTCTGGATAGCTATTTACAGTGAATATTGTAATATTATTTTTTTCATTGTTGATGAAAAACCAAAAAGAAATTGAGGTAACTTACAATAGAGTATCCATCTTTAGAAAGACTAACATCTCGCAGAATAAGCTTGGGGACTGCTATTCGTCCTATTCTTAGTTTTATATGGTATTTTCTTTTGAAAAGCCATGCCAACAAAGTTGGTAATAACCTAGAAGATAGAAGCATAACAAATCACATAAGAGTTTATCAAAAAAAAAGACCAAAGAGATAAATTCATTAATATTGATTAAGTCTTATTATCATATTGTTTGATTTTAAAGCATTTTAGTGAATTATTACTCAATTTTAACATGAGAATAGATAAAAAGAATATAAATTCGTCATTTTCATCCAAGCAGCTGTTTACAAATTATTTATTAGGGATTTACGTTTATTACCAAATTACACAGGATTGACAGGAATTTTATTAATAATATTAGGATCATTACTGTAGCATTCGTTGTGCTATATTGTAAGATATTGCTATGTTATAATTGAAAATACAAAATTGTTTAGCTGTTAAAAATAAACAACTTTTGACAACAATAATACTTACCACGAAACACTGATATAAATCGCGACTAAAGTCAGCAGAACTATAAACAGTGCACTCATTTTCGATCCTTTATATCATTTCTTTTATTTATTTCCAAAATAATTGACTAATTATCGTTTATATTCATTTTCAAAATAAGTTTTCAAATAACCTCAAAATGCATAGTACACAAACTTTTTGACAGTTGACAGTGACAATTGAAAATTGATGTGCAGTGCATTTCCCTTTTCCACAGCAAAACGCAAAATGCAAAACTCAAACTTATTGTTAACAAAGGGGCATCCATGTTCTTTGCAATATTCGTTTTTAGGGATATTATGACTGGTCTGGCAAAGGAAAAACAATTGTGTGGTTCCTTACAAAATATACTGTTTTGTGTTTCTTTTAGACCTATCCTGAAAATTTATCTCCTCTAAGCTATACCACTGTAAGCGTAAAATCTTCTGTTTCTAATTTTATTACTTTTGTGTGTGGCAATAAAAAATAACAACGGCGCTCTCGTTACTTTTTCTAAGACTGGGGTAACTAATAGTAAAAAAAAATCACTATAATTGTAAGATGAGGATATCAACAAGAAAAAAACCCATATTAAAGTTTTATAATTTATTAACTATTTTCTTCACATTAATCTATTATATCTACACATTTTAAACAGATTCTCACATAAACTTAGAATTATGTCCAAGAGGTCTTGGCAGTGTAACCCTCGTATTTCTTTCTAGTTTTCAAACCAGACACAATTGTAGAACTTTTTGGAAAAGCTGACTGTCCATTAAATAATGTATCTTTATCTGTGAACAAAAAACATATTATTTTAGGTTTTAGTTTAGTACAGTAGGAAGTCAGAACCAAGACCTTTGATGGGTCTGTATATGTGATGACATAATATTACAATCACAATAATTTGATGTTAATATGGATCCCTTGTCATCATTTTTGAGCATCAAAGGGTTTGTTATGTTAAAGTCAATCATATTGTATTATTGTGGACATGACAGTCAACATCTGATGATATGCCAAAAAGTAAAAGTATTAGCAACATAAATAACAGTACTTACCAGGATGGAAGCGAACATAATCTTGTTGTATATGCAAATTCTTTGGTAGGTCCATCTTTTTTAATGCATCAAATGGAGTTAGTACTTCAACAGGGGTTTCATAAAATTCTTGGAGATCATCTGAAAATTATTTAATAATGAAACTTAAACCATCCCTAAACATTATAAAATCACATGTTGATACAATCTGAATATAGCTTTAATCACTAAATATTACAAAATCATAGTTTCCAGGTATCTTGTCAGCTGTTAACTTCCTGCAAGTCACTGCGGAGAACAATTTTAGTTGTAGTCAGGCATTACACTGATCTGCAATTGACCTTGGGTTGCCAAGGATATTTGAAGAGAACTATACTTGTTCTGCATTCCTGAATTTTGAAAGTGCAGAGTAGTAGTGTACATTTGATATACTATGCTTGCTAAGTCTCCATCCTTGCTCATTCTGAAAGACTTACCAACATTTTCTATAGTATGCAACAAAGAGTTGGGTACACCATGTCCAGTCTCTTCAAAGCATGTTTTCAGTACATTAAATTTGACTTCAAGACTTTCGAATTCGGAATCTGATTTCAGACCATATTGCGAACAAATTTTATTGATTGTTTCATTAATGTTTGTTGGTGGCTGCCAAGGTTTGTTAGGTCGAAGGAATCTGAAATTATTGTACATTGAATTATATTTAATAATCTGAGACCCAATAACTAGTAATAAAACAAATAGTAGAAAGTAATACCCTCTAGCAGCCAATGATTCGGCAGCAGCCTGTAACTTTTTGTCAACTTTTGGATAACGCTTCTGTGCATTTCTTACAAAGTTAATCTGTAAGTAAAATTAAATCAGTTAGTAAAATTTAACTTGCACCCTTTAAAAAGATTTGAATAAAATGCATAAACATAACCTGAAAATTTGCGCGTGTTGTATTTATTAACGTTTTTCGTAACATTGCGGTTTGAAAAGATATTTTAAAACTGTTGAAAATTTATTTTTACACTAAATATCTTTGATTTGGTTAATATAATCATTAAAAAAAATTTTCATTTCACTGTTGACAAGTAAAAGTGACGTTTGATGTCATAATCGATTTTAGATTCGTTCTACGTGGCCAGAAAATGAAATAGTGTTATTTTTTAGTATTTTTACCATGGTCGAGTGTTTTATCTTAATATACTACACATGATAAGGATTTTTTAATACGTACAAGCAAATTAATGAGTTGCATACTTATTTTATAAAAAAAATGACACAAACAAAAATAACTGCAAATTATAAACCATGAAACGGAGCGTATACTGTTTCTGGACGAAATTAGTACCTCTTTTTACCGCTGTGAGCAGCACTGTCGGCTTGGGTTGTTGTTTCCTATCCGCCATTTTCCAGTCGCCATTGAAAGGTGAAAACTTCACTAAATGTCGGTGATGATTTTAAGATTTTGAGTGGTTTCTTTAATATTAGATCCGTTTTTAGTGTTGTGAAATGAAAATGAAGTGCCCTGGACTACCATGACGCATCAAAATCACCAAACAAACGGTGCTAGCCTCGAGGATTGCCACACAAACTTCTTCGCCTTGGTAAGTCACTTTTACATTGATGAAAGAAACCGTAGGTACTTTTCTTTCGAAATCATTGTGATTATAATGATAATATTATTGCATTGTTTTGTTTAACTTCTTCTTGAATGATTTGATATGGTATATATTTACTAAATCCACGTTATTCAAACGGTCTCCTTTTCGTCAGTGTGCGTTGATATACAAAAATCGCCTTAGTGTAATATGGACATGGAATCGATCTATCGCGTTAAATATTATGTATGGCATATTCAATCCATAGGCGGGCAGTGACGCTCAGCCGTTAGTCATCCTGGCATCGTACTCCCAACAGAACAGTCACTTCGTGTTGCTAACCCATAAAATGACATCGCATTCGGCAAGCGAGGCCACAAGAAGCCATCGGCCAATAGAGGTCATTTTAAATTCACCTGGCCGTAACGTAGACCGTAATGCGTTCGCAAGACTAGTTTCGCCAGGTCGAGGAAATAACTTTCTTATTACTTACATTCTTACGGCCGCGCTCGGCACTATAACTATACTATACTGCGCCTTTGGCTGCGACATAATGTGATAGTGAGAATGTTTGGATTGGATGTTGAGAAGCAAGAAGCGGTCGGGTCATTCATTATCGTCGTGTTGTAGTGTGGAGTCGCTTTGCGTAACGTTTATAGCTGGCGCGAATTTTATCAGATTGTATTCGGGTGAGGATTAGCGGCGGGTGGGACGGTGGGGTGAGGAGGGGGGTTGAGAGGATGGGTGGGGGCGGTCGGTCGTCCTCGCCGGAGCCGGAGAGCAGTGCGGCGCCATTTCCACCTGACGCGTTGCCATATCTCCGCGGCGCGGCGGCGCGCGCCTCCTGCAGCCGTCTCCCTCTCCGCTCCGCCTATCTCGTCGCGATACAAATTACTGATTTCTTGACTTGCTTGCTTATTGTCTAATTATTTATGCGTCGTTTGCGGACACTGCGTCTTTGTCGCGTGGAATTCTCCCGCTGGCGGCGCGGCGCGGCGGCCGTACGTCGTCGGTGACGCATCGTACTCCTAGGCTGACATTGCGCCGGGTTCAATACACTCGCCTCTTTAGTGGATCGCACTGCTATACACTTTTTATATCGAATGCAACAACCAAAACATTACACGATACATGGAACACAAACACATGCAGCTCGCATAACTATGTTAATTTTAAAGATGATGTTGATATAATTACGTGTCGAGAGCAATTTAACTATTTCATAACATCGTTAAATCAAAGCCTAAATTATAATTCAATTATTCTTTGAGGTACTAACTAGACGAAATTCTTTTTAAATATTTCGAAATAGACTGGGAATGCCCTATCATTTATGCATCGTAATAAGATCAATCATAATGGAAATATTATTAGTAAACCATATCGATACAGAACAAGAATTCCTCGTACGCAACTAGATGACAGAGTTATTGAACAACTTGCGTTAAAAACAACATGGCCTATAAACCTACTTATGTAAGATTATTATTATTAGTAATTATTTAACTTATACTGATTTTAAACAGAAAACTGATAATCACATAGAGTAATGTTAGTCCATGGACAATCTATTTTTTTATGTAATAGTAATTTTAATTATGGTTCAATAGAAGTAGGAATGTTTTCCTATTCTCACGAACCATCTCGGTGGATAATACTTGAGAATGTACATTCCGTAATACAGCTGTTGCTAGGGGCGGCCTACAGTATCCCTTGGTATTGCCGTCTCGCTTCGTCCCCCGCATCTCCTCGCGTGTGAATGAGATAGGACGACACGTGATATTTTTCGCGCGCTTTATTACGGATGCATAGCCGCTCGCTACGCTATTAAAGGTTGGTGATCCGCAAATATGTAGTGTTATTTGTTATTACGTGTGTTTGACTACTTGGTTTATTTACGCGATTACTTAACTTAATGTTTTTTTTTTTGAATTGGCAATTGCTAGCTGATGATAATAGCGTAGTTTTGAATACGATTCTCATGAATATTATTTTCAATATGAGCAACAGTTAATAATTGAGGATCATACATAATTATTGTAATTATAATTATTTACAATTTTATTGTTATACATCACAATAATTATATGGAGCGATAAACTGAATTGGTATAGGGGCTAAGAATATTTTATATATGGTAGCATTTATAAATGGCATGATTAGTGTCGCGGAGGTCGGGGTCGGTGCGCGCGCGCTGTTGCCCATTCAAGCGGACATGAATGCTCCTAATCGATCGCAGATTTCCCACGGGCTGCGTGCAACCTTGTCTTTACGCCCTCCCCACGACTGGTACAATTTTTTTATTGATTTCGCATCTAATATGAGTGTACAATGAACTTAATGTACAAATGTACATCGGAAGAAAAATACGTTATCATTACTGGTGTTAAATTTGTAAATACATTGTTTTGGTCTCATCTGTTTACGTTTCATATTTATGTATTATTTAAAACTCAGCTGTTTACTGAAATTTGTTGTCTTTTAATTTTGAACAAATTCGTTTCCCACGCTAGTTATAGCAGGATAGTTGGTGTTCAATATAAGACCAGTTTATTTAAAATTTGATTGCTCATTAAATGAGAACGGTTTAATAAGTATTTCACCCTTCATTCCCTGAGGCTTCGTTCTACTGTCCTTGTCCATTGACCGCCTAAATTCACAGTTTACTTATTCATGGTGGCTGGAGCACAGTGCGCCGCCCCCTCCGCCCCTCTGCCCCTGTCTTCTGTGCACACAGAGCACGCCTTTAATTTACCTCTGAATGACTTCAACCACTCTGAGGGTTATTAACAACCCCAGTTTGACATACGTTTAATATGTCCTTTGTGGATCGACAAAGGTATATTCATGGTTTTGTTATTGTCTCAAAATAGTAAACGCGTTTAGTATAGCAATTGCATTTATTTATACATATATTAGAAGGTAACAACCGAATCTAAATTTTCCTCAACTTAGTATCATGAGACACATTTTACACTGCAAATAATTCGTATCCAAACTTAGTGTTATGGTTATTTTACGGTAAACGATGCAATGATTAATGATTGCTTGACGTTCAAATGGAAGAAAAATTTCACTTTCAATCCCCAGAGAGCCACGAGGAAAACAGCTTAAGAGTCGGCTGACGTGGCCGGCAAAAAACGCGCACAGCAGATTTAAGGTCACCGTAACCATTATATTCATATTTTTGCCAGTCGATTACAGGACGAGAATGTGATATGACGCAAGCCAAAGTTCCTCCAGTCGTCGTCACAAGGTGACTGCAACGACCCCACCGGACAGGCTTGACACCTTCCTTTTCATTTCCGTATTATAAATATAGACAAATTTATGTCCTGTCTTATCGTTTCAAATTTATTATCGTCAGGGTCATTAGCTTGCCGTGTTGGTGTGTATTTTATTTTAATTTATCATTTGCGATAACACATCAATGTTATTATTTTTGTATCATATAAATGTCAATAATTTTTCGCGCCTTTGTTCGATTTTGGTTTTAATTTGAAATTTATTACACCTATTAATCATTTTTAAAGTGGCAAAGGCAAAATCTTAATACGGAATCAATATATACATGTGATTAGATATTAATAGCAAACAGCTTATTTTAATTAAGTCTAGTAGTAATGTAGTATTTGCAAAGTTACGTTACGATTTACTAAATCATTTACTATTGATTACATTGGGTTTGTGTATTTTGTACCATGGATGTATAACTTGAGGAAACTCAGTGTTAGAAAATGTTGTTTATCCGATTGTTCTCTAAAATTATATTATATTGTATGCATTTGCTTTTATTGTAGTCAGAGTAAAATTATAAATTATTATCAAAGTTATATGCGGTTTGTATTGACGGTAGCGTGTGATAAGCGTTATCGCACCGCAGTCTTTCGGGTCCGAGGGAATGTGGACCTCACACACTGAAAACATGGCGCAGATCTTCTTTAGTAATTCATTATTTAAGAATTTAGTTAATATCTTAATGTAAACATGATGGTTTCTATAATTTTTATCTAGAATCATAACCAATAGTTGGTAAATACACGTTACTTTCTATAAATATGACATACATTTAATTTGACAAAATAACACTCAATCCTTTGTTACAATGATTTGACACTAAATATGATTTTTTATTAAATAATTATAGATGTCTATGTTTACTGGTGCGTAAGGTATTGGTATAAAATAGCGAATCAGTGTCAGCGGTTGACCTACGCCGGTACGCGCCTCGGCCACGAGCAACGCGTCACCTATCATTGCTGATAAGGAAGTTTGCGGCTACGTTATCGCACCTAGCTCTGTTCTCCTCTGATCAAGCCGCTAAACATCCGATACACTGTCGTCTCATGTCTACATTTGTATTGGAAAATTTATACTTATATTTCCGTTTTAGTCATATTTACGACACACGTTATTTTAACATTTCTATCACACAGACTTAGCTATTAAAATGTTAGGTCGACGTTCCTCGAGAGGCAATATTAAAGCAGGTTTCGTCTCTCAGCTCTTCATCTTTTTAAGACGTATTACTAAATTAATCACTCGTAGTAAGGTTTTATGGGGCCTATATTTCCATTAGATAAGCTCACCTCATATCCTATCTAAAATCTCAACTGATTTAGTCACCTTAAGCTATCTCTGACTTAACATCGATAAAGATTGATAATTTGTTTAAATTCTTTAAATTCTCTTTAGTCAATAAATTATTGTTTAATATTTCAATATTATGCATATTAAAATTTCATAATTCCCACGTTCAACAAATTATATAATACATTTTATTGATAGCTGTTCGCACACGATTTTTAACACATATGGGGAGTAATAGGAAACATACGCAAACGTTGAATCTTTGTTTATGATGATAATAAGTCCACTTACCCGTCACTGTGTTATTTTATCACAGTATTGATGTACAGAAAAGTAGTATATAATTTACTATAGTGTATAAGATGAGACTATTATGTTTCTTTTTGTTATAACCACGAAAACTGTGTAAGAATGTG